TTCACAAAAAAAAAAAAAAAGCTACTTTCTGACAATTTCATTCACAATCAACTATTTGGAACATTACAAGAATGAAAAAAAGAGAAATAAATAATAATTTGTAGTAGTTATAAGTATTATATAAATATATTGGCAACGCTTTATTTTAACCCTCTGGGGTCTGAGGGTGTTTTGGGGCCCTGGAGAAGTTTTGACATTTGTGTTTTTTCAGTATCTTAAAAACATATCCTTGTTACACGTGTTACATGTGCTTACTATTATAATAACAATAAATTATGCATAATTACATGCAAGTAACCCTAAGCCAAACCCTAGTCTAACCATATAGTACATGTAGTTAAATTAATATTACTCAGTACTTAAATGTATAATTACACTGTAACAAGGACACAAAATAAAGTGTAACCAATATATTTTATAAATGATATAAATAAAAAAAATATATTTATATAAATTATTATAATTATACATTTTCATTTGAAATGATAAATTGTTTAGAATTATAATTATTATAAATTATAATAACAACAGAAAAACTAGATTCCAAATACTTTTAACAACATGCAAATAAAAGTTTGACAAAACTTCTTTGTAAAAAGCGAACAGAACAAAATGATAAAAGTGTGTATTTGTGTGATCTCATTAGTGAACAACACAAGAAAATATCGTTATCTTTTTATTCCCTAACTCTTTATTTGAGGTAAATTAATTATATTAAGCAAATGGCAACACAAACGCACACGTCTGAACTTTTGCTCCAATCTGGAAATAGCATTTCTGTTTATTTGATAATTAGACACATGAACAGGAACACACACACACACACACACACACAGATAAAGAAAGATAAAACACACACTCGCTTGTCACTTGGTACTGAATGTGAGGTGAATCCTGAAATGAACTGTGCGTAATTAGCGAAGTGGTTTACAAGAACACACACACACACACACACACACACAGCACAATCGATGGTTCCTGCGAGAACAGAAGGGCTCCTGCTGGAGGTTGAGGTGGGATTCAGAGCGAATGTTGCGTAAGTGTTATGTGAATTATGTTGGAGAGTGTTTGAAAGCTGTGGGTGGATAGAGAGATCATTGCATAATATTCTCTCCTTCCTTCCTTTCTTCCTCTCGTTCGCTCTCTCCTGGCACTGAAAAATGGACAGATCCATCCAAAACCTGCGCTTCTCTTTCTCTCCACCTGCCAGCATTTTTTCCCAAAGTTCCTCCTTTCTATTATTATGCCTCAAATTAAACACAAACACACACACATATCTGTCTCATCAGTCCACAGAATATTTGCACAAAAGTCTTGGGGATAATCAAGATATTTTTTGGCAAATGTGAGACGAGCCTTTGTGTTCTTTTTGGTCAGCAGTGGCTTTTGTCTTGGAACTCTCCCATGGATGCTGTTTTTGCCCAGTCTCTTTCTTATTGTTGAATCATGAACAC